CTCCTCTATCCATCTTCTATCCGCCTCCCCTTCTCCCCCTATTTATTTCAGATCCCCCTTCCCCTCCCCCATTTCTGAAGAAGGGTCTAGGCCCGAAACGTCAGCCTTCCTGCTCCTCTGATGCTGCTTGGCCTGCTGCGTTCATCCAGCTCTACACCTTGTTACCTCAGATTCTCCAGCATCTGTAGTTCCTACTATCTATGAAAGGATAACAACTTGTTTAAGTGATTTTTACACATTGTCCTATACATGAAAACAAAAGAACGCTTAGCCCAATGTAAAGAATCACATTATTGCTACCCAATGCTTCATTGGTGCGACTGAGCATTTCTTAAAAAAAGAGACTATTTTGCCAATCAGGGATGAAAATAAGATTCAAAACGTCTTGATCTTTTAAAATAAAAAAATGAGTATATAGGTGAAAAGCATATTGACTCCTCTCATTTCCTTCTATCTCGTTGCATTTATTAATAAACCAATCAATTTGATCGAGGCATGAGCCAAATCTAATTGTGCAGGCATAACCAACACATTTATCCATGCATAAACTAATCACTAGTTTCCCCTTTTCAGATCTTAAATTCAGTTTACTAATTTTTGCACTGATTCTTGCATACTTTTGGAAGTCCATATGGAAGATGCTTATTCCTTGGACATTATTTTAATTGCTTTGGGGTATTTCCTGGTGGTGTTAACTGTATAACCCATTCTGATCACAAATGAATAATTCACGGAACAGGAGATGCACAGTCTTTGAAGTGCCTGAGATTACACACAAACTACCTCCTCTAACCCGGGGCTTCTTTCCCATTTGATTCAAAAGCATACTGAAGCTCAGGGAGACATCTTTGTTTGTGAGATGTACCAACTATATGAGCAAAAATTAGAAAAAGAACTGGATGCTGAAACAAAATCTGAAATTGCTTGAGAAACTCAGCACATCTGGCAGCATCCGTGGAGAGAAAACAAGAGTTTGGGTTTCAAGTCCTGTGACACTTTCTCTGAAACAGGATCAAATGTTAATTCTGCTTTATTTTCTTGATGCTGCTAGACCTGTTATGTATAAGCAAATATGTATTTGCAAATACTAATGACTGAGCTTGGATATTTAACAATGGTAAAATATATTAAATGGGATTATATAAAATATTACAATGCAGCAAAGCAGGGACTCAAACATGACTGCAACTACATGACATATAATGTAACATGGTACAAATGCAGGAACAAGCGATAACAGATAGTATTACACAAATGTTTTAAATGTCTCTAAATGATTTCACCATCCATCCTCCCTACCTTAAGGCCTACCTCTAGTCTTTCAGTTATTTTGGCAGGAGTGGAATAGGCAATGAGAGAGTGCAAACTGTCACACCCTCCCTCCTTCGTTTTGATGAAGTTTGCCTGCATCAATGGTTTGCAACTTGTGGGAAACAAAACACACTTGTGGGACCACTTAGAAGACAGGACAAGAAGAAAATCTGATTTGTTGCGGTAGTAAACAATAAGATGTTTTACAGAGAACACTATTTCACATGTTTCTGTATTTGATCACTGTTGTAGAAACAAGTCAAACGTGGATAATAAGTTGCACATGCAAAAAACAGAAAATGCTGCAGCACTCAGCCTATCAGCCTCTTGAGTCCTGTCCTCCACTTTAAGCTATTGGTTTTTCCTATAACCCCCCTCACACCATATATCTAGTCTTTTGACACATTGATCATCTGTAATATAAAGTGTCACACCGAAAATGCTGTGTCTGTTCTGCTCAACGATCTTATAGACCCTGTTTGAGTGTTTCAATTTTGCTTTTGATTCAGATTTTTAACATCTGTAGTATATTTCTTTCTGTTCACAAACACCCTGCCATACTAATTTTAGCCTTTTGTTAACTAAATACGAGCAATAAGGATGCATTTGTTTATTTTTTTGGTGTATGTGCCATAATAACTTATAACTTTTTGCATTTGTTGCTAACCTGTATTGCTTCAGTCCATTATCTTTGATTGCTGTAGCACTACATTGAATCACTGCAAGCAAACAACAAATTATTTCTTAAACAAATATGGATATGCTGTCTACCCATTCTGACACTCTCCTAATGAGAGTGGTAGACACAAACTGTCTAGGAATTATGCTCTGGCTAGTTTGTGAATTGCTGTCAGAAACCAGTTGTTGATTTGCATATTTCAGATCCTGGCGACAAAACCTCGTTAGTCATAGAAGGGGAGGGGGCGTGATATTTACAGCAACTACAGCATAACATTGGCCGGATCAGATTAGAATCCCTCGCAGCCTCTATGTTCATCAAGACTGAGGTTAGGATGCAACAATGACAGGTTTTACTGAACGCAGGCTGGTTTCCCTTTTGGTGCAGAGAATGCATTTTCCACTTGATGGTAACATATGGTGATGTTCTCCTGGGAATAGATGAAAGTTATTGCATGCATATTTTTCCCTTTAATCTACTTTCAATGTTGCTTGTCCGTTTTTGCTCTAGTAACTTAACAAGAGTGAATAATACAGTTGTATCTCTTTGTCAGTAAATAACAGGAATAAAGTTAAAATGCTCACAGGTCAACAGGATTGTGGGATGTAGGATCTTGCAGATTTATTCACATATGATTTACTAATCCAATAATGTTTATACATCCTCTTCAATGATTTTAAACAATATCAGAATAGAAAGTACGTACCCAACAGCAATTTTATGTAATGATTATTTTACACACACTTAAAATTACCCTTTTACTAAAGACCTCTAACACACACAAAATAAATCTTAAATTAGCAGGTGAGACAGCAGATTCAATAAATGGTATAACCTAGTTATCTTTGTTGGCGGTAATGCAGCTTATTGGCAAAAGTAGTTTCAAAAGGGGCAACTATTATAGTGCATTTGTCAGAAACAATTTCAAATCATTGCAAACATAAGGGGAGACTACAATTTTCATTATTTGTAGCGGAACAATACAATTAAACCTGCTTTTGAAAGTAATGTGATTTTTCTTCCTTTGTCCAATAATGTAAATGCTATGGGAAAATAGCCAGGAAGAGTCTCTGCAATATTCATCATTGACAAATTCTTAAATTAATTTAATTTTGAGGGCACACAGATGGACTTCTCCTTTTGATCTGTAATCCAAGATCACCCAGAGAAATGAAAAAAAATTTTACTGATGTTTTAACATCATGCATGCAAGTTAAAAATTTTAAATAAGGTGCATTAGACACCATTTTATCTCAACAGAGCAAGCCCATATTTTACGTAGTTTAACAGTGTCTGAAGGTGCACTTGTTTCAAAATAAGGCACTCATGATTCACACTGCACTTTAAATAGAACAGAATTTCTAGTCTGGCTCACTGCCTGCCCTGAGCTTGTTTGGAACATCTTGGATTAATAAAAAGATCCTGATATCACAAAATTAGAAGAGTGTAGCTGATAATCCCAAATCCTGTTTCAGTTAATTTCTTGCTCATAGAGAAAAAAAATTGCTTTAGAATGAATGGTCAGTTCTGAGATGTAATAAAATGTTTGTCCTTGGTTGACCAATCTTCTATTGTTGAAGTAGGTAGATACAATCAAGTCCTGGGAGTACTGGTTTCTGTATTTTCATCATTGTCTGTCCTGTATCTGCAAATTTTTGGTAAAGTGCTGTATTCTATTTTTAAAAAACCCAAAAGAACTGTGAATGCTTTAAATCAGAAACAAGAACAAAAATTGTTGTAAAAGCTCAGCAGGTATGGCAGCATCTGTGGACAGGATTAGAGTTAATATTTCAGGCTGTGTGACCCTTCCTCAGAACAGAGGAACGGGGGGCTATATTCTCATTTGATCTCATTTAACAAACTGCACTTCTGTTGTGTTTTTGTAATAACTAAGCAAAAGAAAGACAAAGGCCACAAGGAAGATTGACACAAATAATAAAGCTTCACACTGGTGTAGTTCACAGAACTGTTACAGTGCAGAAGGCAGCCATTTGGCACCATTATGTCAGCAGTAGCTTTCCAAATAAGCATCATAGCTTAATGCCAATTTTCCCCATTTCTTTGCACATTGTTTCTGTTTAAATAATTATCTAATGCCCCAATTGAACCTGCATCTACCACAGTCCAGACAGTGCATTCTAACCCCTCACTACTCACTGTGTGAAGTTTTGTTTCTCACCTTGCATTTGTTTCTTTTGCAGAGCACTTTAAATCTATGCCATTTCATTCTTTATCATTTTATGAACAGGACATTTTTCCCTTGACTAGAAACTGAACTGAACGAATGCAGTGGCCACAAGAGCAGTTGGCCAAAGTTCGTTCATATTTCTCAAAGTACAATAATGAAAAACTGTTTCATTCCCTAGCAACAATATGCTTAACTGGATTAGATCAAATATTGAACAGAAATAATATAATGAAAATGAATAAGCGGCTATACAAGTTATCAAAGTGAGGAGGTGGTAATGCAAAATAGCTGTGTAAGGTTTGTGTCAACTTATTTTTGTGTCTTTAAAAACCGTGTTTTATTTTAAACACAGATTATCAAGATGGCTGCATATTTTCACAGCAAAGAATTTGATACCTATGGTGAACTCTGCTTTTTGTGGCTTTGGTTCCTACTGTGGGCAGACATTCAGACACCGAGGAACTGATTACAAGTGAAGCTGATTGATTCTCTGCTAACTGAACAGGTTGGAATGGGAAACAAGATACAGAGACACAGACATGCAGAGAGAGGGAGCGAAGACACAAAAGTGGGTGCAGTTGTTTTCCCCACTAGAAGCTGCCTGTTCTCCACTAAAAACAACTAGGATTTAAACTTATAGAAAACCACTTCCTTTCCTCAAGCAGTTGTTATGAGCAGAGACTTTTGAATTGATAAATCAGAGCTATTTTCCAACTGAATCAATAGCTCTGTACTTCTTACAAACTAGTAAGAGCTTCAAATGACAAGTGAACACCAAGGGCCTGGCTAGATGAGGAAGAATCATCTCAACATTGGAATCAGGATTTTTCAGATTTTCTTCCTCCACCTATATATATATATATATATATATATATATATACATACTCTACACACACATACACATATAGGGAGTTTATAAGGACATTAGAATTTTAGATAGTAGTGTCATTTGCTGATGGTTTGTATCTGTTTAACTGTAGTTATAGTCTAATCACTTGTAAATAATAATCCTTTATCACAGAAAACTGGTTCATGTTTTCTACCAACCTTGGTCTGAAAGTCAGGAAAATTGGGATAATGTGCATACTTTCAAAAAATCCTTGCCATTTGATGTCAATCCAGCAATAACAGGCTCAATTTATGGTGTGCTACTTAGGTTGGTCGTAACAGCTGATGGAGGCTCCCATCTACAGGAGTTAATTCTCTTTCTGAAATGATATCAGAATGACTTCTCTGGAGGGTGGACAAAGAACCATTTAACTTCTTTATAATAAAAGAAAAACTTGATTCTTTTTGGCATAATGTTGCAATATATAGGCTCTCCAATATGACCAATTTAGCAACTATCTGGATTGGTCGCATTACAGTGCAAAAGCATTTTAATAATCGACTCAAAAAAAACAAACTCCAAGTCTGGATTTTCGCAACAAATGGATCTTGTTATTTGAATAACTATGGATTTCAGAATGCTGCAGAATTTCACTCTAATTCTAAATGGCCAGAATAGAATTCTTTACTTTTCTGATACTATTTGCCTTATATATTCTACAGGATTTAGAATGTACTCATGTTTATAATTATTACATCATTAGCTAGGAAACTTTTCAAACAGAATTCCTAATTAACAAAAATAGGATATAAAAAATTAAAAGCAGATACCTATCAAATGATCAAAAATTTACTTTGTTTATTGGTTACTTTTAGTCTTAACTTGATTCAGATATGGAATGAGGATTTAATTAATTAACAACTTGGTTTAAATACTTAATGGATTTTAAGTGCACTTTAGGTTATGAATGAGACAAAACAGCACTAGAAATAAAAACTACAATGATTGTCAATTGCTTTTCTTCAATTAGTTTATTAATCTTCACCCTGCGCATCAGAGCACAGAAAGTTCCACTGTGTTGCAGAGATGCTGCAGAAAAGCAAACAGCAAAGGCATAAGTCAGCAGTCACATTGCTCCATTTTATCAATGGGTCACAGAACCTTTATATCAATTCATAACATCCACTGCAAACAATGGTATCTTACAGTTGTTACATTTCTTTTAATGTAGTAGGACTTATACGTTGAATAAAATAATACCCGAGTGTGTCCATCACATAAGCGGTTACTAAAGGAATTATATAATGATTTATTTTCACATGTACTGAGATGTTCCATACTTTAAAGCCTGCAATTGAGTGAAGCTTGCTTCTGGTTAAAGAGGAGATATTTTCAAGGAAATAAGTACTTGACAAATGTTGGATCAGAGAGTGAGCAATCAATTTGGTAGACTGACAACGTAATTAGGAATGCAACGATAATTTACTAAAACTATGTATTTGTAACTAAGTAAAAAAGAAAATCACAATTCATTTACATTATTTTTGTAATATTAATTAAAGGGTACAATTCAAAAGGGGACCAGGAACAGAGGGGCCTTATGTCAAAGGTGTACAAATTATTGAAGATGCAGGGCAAGTTCAGAAAGTTGCTAAGAAAGCACACAGGATCCTGGGTTTTATAAAAATATCACAAAAACAACGAAACAATGATGAACCATGACAGATGACCTATGAATGATATGTTCAAAACAATGAGGGAACATCACAGAGCAGATAGGAAGAAACTCTTCCCACTGGCAGTAGAGTAAAGAACGAAGAGAATTTTATTTTTAGATCACTAGCGAAAAAAGAAAGCGGTATCGATGTGAGGAAAAACTTTGTTAATGCAATCTGTGGCTAAAATCTGGAAGGTTTTGCCCGAGTGTGTAATGGAGGCTGTTTCAATCAACACAAAAGAGAACTTAACATTTATCTGAACAAGACTACATGTAAAAGGTAGGTGAGTAACCTAGGTGAGCTGCTCTCCCAGAGAGTCTGCAGAGATACAATAGGCTGAATGACCTATTTCCCTGTTGCAAATGTTTTATTGTTCTATGAAGATGATGCACCTTTAAATTATATTTCACAACTATGTTAGCAACAAAATTGGTTACCCTGACAACGTAAATCATACTGAATATCATTAAGATCCGATGGAAAATACAATAGAGTCTGTCAAGTGATTAATCAATAGTCACCATAATCTTTGAGGGCTACTCTATCTTTAAAGTAAGAGATGACTGGTGGGGAGTTTGACGTGGGGGTCACGACCCCTCACTTCAGGAGCGAGATTGAGAAAACAGGACATTCGTGGTAACCTCAGCAGGTGCAGGAATTGAACCCACACTGTTTTGTCACTCTGCGTCGCAAACCAGCTATTCAGCCGACTGTGCTGATGTCCTTCATTCCACATTCCGAGCTTCACAGGTTATTGCGGCGGGTACAAGCCCCTAGGTGGCCATTAATTAGCCAGTTAAGGGCCTCAATAAGCCAAAGAGTGGGTGAGCTAGCTGCTTCTTTACCCACCTTCTGTATTATGGGGGCTGCTTGAAGGGCAAAAAGGCAGTGGGTTGGCCAGCCAAGCTATTTCAAGTGTCTCCCACCCTGTGATTACATCAGCTGGGGTGAGGCTATAACATTACCCCCAGCACCACACCCTTAGCAACCTCACACTTTCTGAATGGGCTATGCAAAGCAGGGTGAGAATCATAAGGGACATGGTCAACTGACTTATCAGGAGTTAAATTTGGGAAAAAAAAATTGGAAGACGAAATAGATTACTTCTAATCAGCACAGGAAACACAATGGAAACAGTGAAATAAGATTTCACAAATCACAACCAGGTCTCATTTGCTCACCCTGGGGTATCTGAGACATTACCTTTCATTACTGTCAGTGCGAAAGGTACTGTATTCTTTTCACTAATTCATCAATTTCTTCTGCTGTCGTGTACCTGCTGCCATGATCTCCTGGAAAATTACACCTGACTATATATATGCTTATTGTGCTATGGTACTGGATATGCTTATGGAGCTTCTTTATCCTACCATTGTTATTCAGACCAGTTTGAACTTAGACTAAAAGCTTCTGCTGATTAATGTCAAGACGGACATTGATACAGTGCATTGAAAGCATCCTTACTGTCAGAATATGCATATGTTTTTACATTACTCAATACAGAACAAAGACAAAAAACAGAATTGGTTCAAACAGTGTGCAGCAACTCCTTTTCCTTTCAATTGTCCTCATAACATTGAAAAAGGGTGAATTTCATGACTGAAACGATAAACATTTATAGATTATTATGCTAATAAACTAGACAGATAACACAAACAATAAAGGTGGCTAGGAGTAAAACACATATGACTTTAAAACACAGGCTTTTCATCACAATTGGTGGTAAAGTACGACAAGAGATTTCTACAGTACGGAGGGGAATAGAATATTATACAGCATGCATGAAAGGTTTTGCACAACAAAGCGATAGCTCAGGAAAAGCAATGATAGGAAGTAACAGAAAAGACATTAAGTCTATCATCACTGTGTGGAAATCTGTCAAAAATCTAGGGGTCAGGGAGTCATACAATATCAAGTAGGGAGGCATCCAGCAGAAAGGTGAATGACATAAAAACAGCTTTACTCTATAAGGTCTTTGCTGGCTTCAAGGCCAAATGGTGTGAACTGGCTTGAAGAAGTGATTTTCAGTTCCTTAACAAATTTCACACACATCACCATTAGATGTAAGGCTTGCATTGCCTTAATGTTTTGTAACAAAAGTAAAAGCTAATTGTCAGATATATTATCATCTTTTGCCTTTCAAATCTGTTACACTACATGATGCTGAGACCTAACCTGTGTCACTATCACAGTGGTGATCCAAATTATGACTTATGCATAAGCTAATACAGCTACACTGCCATAATGATCAACAAATACTGGAACAGTAAATAAATTGATAAGGACGAGATATTAGTTAGGCTGCCTATTCTTAGGCAGGACCGGAGTGAGTTACTGAGGGAAGGAAGGGTGGAAATTGCAGAGGCACTGAACATTACTTTCCAATCGTCCTTGGAAATAGGTCTGATGCCAAAGAGTGGAGAGTTGCAAATGTTACACGCTTGTTCAAAAAGGATGCAATGATAAGCCCAGCAATTTCAGAACAGTCAGTGTTACCTCAGTCATGAGGAAGCCTTTAAGAAATGATCATTTTGAGGCTGTACACTTGCTCGCTGAGCTGGTGTACAAATATACAAAATACCATGCAAGGACTGTGAGAAACATTACATAGGCCAAACTGGAAGAAAACTGACATAAGGATACGCGAACACCAACTAGCCACCAAGAGACATGACTAATTCTCACTGGTCTCAATACACACGGACAAAGAAGGACATGAATTCGACTGGGACAACACACCCATAATAGCACAAGCCAAACAGAGACATGCCAGGGAATTCCTGGAGGCATGGCATTCCAACCGGAACTCCATCAACAAGCACATTGAAAAGGACCCGATATACAAACCGCTGAAAAACAGAACCGGAAGCAATACTAACCACCCCAGCAAACCAAGGCACATAAATAACAAGCGGGCCAGAACACTGACGCTTCACTGGAGGCACACTGACCATGTTACCCAGCAGGGTGATGAAACATCTGCAATCAAACACACCGGCTCGGCAAGCAAGTCTACAACCTCGTCCACAAGCCAAGCCACAAATCTTCTCAAAAACTTTAAATGATAATTTTATTCCAAGTTAACAGCTACTTGAACAAATGCGGCTTAATTAAGGGAAGGTTAAATTATGTTGCTTAAGTAACTTGCGAAAGTTGTTTTGATGAGGCAACAGAGAAGGCTGATGATGGTAATGCTGTTGACATGGTCTAAATGGACTTCCAAAAGTCATTCGATAAACTGATGCCCAAAGACTTGGAAGTAAATTTGAAGCTCATAAAATAAAAGGGACAGTACCAATATGGATACAAAATTAGCTCAGTGACAGAAAAGAAAGAAAGAAATGGTGAACTTTTTTTTTGAACTGGAGAAAATTTTACAATAATACTATATAATACAATACAACACAGGAACAGGCCCTTTGGCTCACCAAGCCTGCGCCAATTCTAATCCTTATTCAGACCTGCTACTTACACTTATTGCGGGATTCCCAACTATACAACTTTATAAGAAGTAGCTGCTGAGATAGTAGATGTAGTAGCTGGATGCAGGAAATTAGAGGTACAGCCATAATCAGATCAGCCACGCTCTCATTAAATGGCAGAGCAGGGATGAGAAGCTGAATGGCCTATGTATGTATGTATGCTTGTAGACAAACAGCAACTATAATTTAATGCAAAGAAGTGTGAAGTAATTCATTTTGACAGGGAAAACAGGGAGAGACAACTTGAAATAAAGAGTCCAATTCTAAAGGGACTGCAGGAGCACGAGCAGCTGATATGAACAAATTACTGGACATATATGAACAGGTTGAGGAAAACATGTGGGATCCTGAGCTTTAAAACAGGGACAGAGAGTCCAAAAGCAAGGAAGTTATGATAAACCTATATATGCATATCAACGTATGAATATACTAACAAGGAGCAGGAGTAATTCTATTCGGGTCCTCAAGCCTTCTCCGCTATTCAATAAAATTATAACTGATTAACTCCAAATTTCCGCCAATCCCCTTATAATCTTTCAGGTCCTTGCTTATGAAGAATCTATCTACTTCTGCCTTAAAAATATTCAAAGACTCTGATTACACCAGTTTTTGAAGAAGAATTCTAAAAACTCATGAACAAAAACAGAAATTGCTGGAAAAGCTCAGCAGGTCTGGCAGCATCTGTGGAGAGAAATCAGAGTTAACATTTTAG